AAACTTTAATGGTCTTTCACAATTACTGGTATGCCAAGTAGTTTACATTGTGGGTCCAATCTACAAAAATCTAAAACGTAAAAGATATCGTAAAAGGAAGTTAGAGGGTAAAAATTGAAAATGGTTAAAAATAGCTACCTAATTAGTACAGTACAATCGAGATAAAAAGTGAAAAAGGAACCTTAAAATGTCCTTAATACTGAGATGTTTGCGACTTGCATTAATGTTTAAGAATTTCTCGAGCAAATATTTCTTAAAGTTATTTTCATATGTCATGTTTTACGCTTGTGTGTACGTACTTTTTGGCACATTTCACTTTTTGTGATTGGTTGAGCTGCGGGTTCTTATTTAACCCATATAAATTACCCCAGGAACTGTTATGGAAATATTGTGTTTGTTTGTTTGTTTTTTGTTGTTGTTGTTGTTGTTGTTTTCTTTTTCTTTTTTTTGTATTTTTGACGCATCCATGAAAATTCCCCCCAGGCAATTTCACCTTTGAAAAAGTGGTCACACACAAAAAGTTGCTTTACCGTGGGCAATAGCCGTTCCTTGCCCATTGGTAAAAAGGCTAGTATAACCACACCTATTGTGCATTTATCACGTTAGTTCTTTACATATCCTGTTTAAACAAGCGATAGCCAAACGTTCCTACCTAAATATAATTCTAAACAATAAAAATGCCTCTTGTGATATCAGAAATCACTCTAAAACGCATTTATGACATTATAATAAGTAATTACTCACGTAGACAAAAGCCCAGCTGAGATTACTGACGTTGTCGCCAGTCTCTGTTAACATGGTATCGAGTTTGACTTCCAACCCAGTCACCCTTCCAACATCTTTAGCACCTCTCGAAAAAACGTCAACACTAAAAAGACATCAAAATCGGTTACTACGCTTCGCCTATGCATGAAAAGGCCATTTCCGAGTTCCTCCAGGCCTCTGTTTCAAAACGAGGGCAGGTGCTCAGCCTGTGATATGGAAATCATTTTTCATTCCCATGCAAATAAAACTCATTTTCACAAGAAAGGTTGTGCACCTAGCCTCATTTTGAAAGTGAGGGTTTTCGGAACTCGAAAGTGGCCTATTATTACATTAGTTTTAACTGCAGTGAAGTTCGTTGTCTGTTTTTCTTCACAATCACGATCATAAATCTCGATATGACTGATAAATAATTTGTTACACAATTCTTTAATTCATTATTTTAAAATTAAACGGTTATGAATCCTGAAAGGGCATAAATTATTCTTAACCGTGAGGGGATTGCCTCAACTACACAATTCTAAAACTTACTGAACATTGATCTTTCGATTGTTTTGTTTTTGTTATGAAAAATAAGTTAACTGTTGACTTCGGCTTTCGTAAGATTTGAAAAAGAAAAAACAAAAAAACAAAAAACAGAAAAAAACAAACAAAAACAAAAACAAAAGAAGGGGGGATGGGTTGGAGAGATCTCAAAGATTGGTCATCCGCTTCTGCAGCAGTAAACTTCGACAAAAAACACCCACCCACTCCACCGACTGTACTAGTGTCAACGAGGACATTATACTTACGCTCCTCTTTCGAAGTCATTTCGGGATTGATTACCCAAAAGTAATTGTGTTGTAACGCCCATCTTGCCATGTATTTTGATAAAAACTTGTGCGTTGGTCCCAGCATCCATCTCAGTTGAAGTGTGAACATTGATATTAAATACTGCCATGAATGAATGAAATATCAACAGTTAATAATTACATCCATGAAATATAGTTATAGATGGATTTATAAAAACCGGGTTAGCAAACATTTTGTTATTGTTCTCGATTTCCGCTGTCATAGCTTATTTACTGTGTTGTTTGCTTATGTCCTTTATTTCGGTTGTTTTGTGGTTAGGGATTTGTGTAGTA